CGATTAATATATAGACTACAGTCTCTAGTCTTTAGAAAGGTTAGTTACTCATTTACTATAATTAGTAATATCAAATGATGTAGCTAAACTTTAGTCTGCATTGTCTTAAGTTGATGTGTTTACTTGGACCTCCATATTTTTAAATGGAAAACCAAGATAACTTTCCCATTATTTTTCTGTGATGTTCGGATGATACAATTTTACATGTAGGTAACAAGACTTACGAAGTGTTTAATGAAGGCAGAAAAAGGAGTACCTTACATCTTTGGTTTATTAAATGTTATTGAATATAATTTAATGTGCTTTGTAAACTGTTTTTACAATGTTATGGCTCCATTTAAAGGAAATGTCTCTGGTTATGTATGTAACCATGGTTCCCTGAGAAGGGAACGAGACACTGCGTCCTCTAGGAGTCGCTATGGGGAACGCCTTCAGCGTGACCGGTGTCTGAAGCATGCATCTAAATCCGACAATTACATTGGTCAGCGACAGCCCGTGACGTCATCACCCGGCGTGACCACAGTGCAAAAGGGCACCGGGAGAACACGTCATTCGCTTCGTCTGAAGCTTATGTCCGAAGCATGGCAAGGGAACTAGAGGACGCTGTGTCTCGTTCCCTTCTCAGGGAACCATGGTTACATATGTAACCCGAGATGTTCCCTTCCGAGGGAACTTCAAACTGCGTCCTCTAGGGTCGCTATGGGGAACGGTATACCCACGCCGCCATGCTGAGGGGAGTGCATGCCAGAAACTACGGTGAGCACTAAGTACCAACTCTACCATAGCCATGGGAGTTGCCCCAAAGGACGTCTTGATGGCTGTCAGTGACATTATCCCCTTCGGCCAAGGGCCTGAGCTACATACTCTAAAGAACTTACCTGTTAAGGGCTGGGCTAGGAAGCCCAAACCTAGGGTAGAGCTCAAGGATTGGAATCAGAAGAAAGAGATTCCTTTAGGGGAATACCCTGACCCTGGCCTGCCACCCAGGGGGGCTACCGCCAGTTCTGAATAAACCTGCCCAAAGAACTGACTCGACAGATCTTTGGTAGCAACACCCTGCTCAGGAATGTATCAACAGAGATGCATAAGTTGAGTGGAGCCCAAGGCGAGAACCGTGGCCTAAACCAACTCAGAGAAAGGGAACGAGGCTGATAGCGCGTAACCCTTATCATACAGGATTTTAGAAAGTGCGCAGAATGCTTAGCGTGCACACTTACCACAATGTGGATTTTAGAAAGTGCACAGAAGCTCAGCGTGTGCACTTACCATAGCATGGATTTAAATTCCAAAGCATCTGCTCACAGATGCCCAGAAGTCATCAGACACTCAATCGGGAGCGGCAGGCTCAAAGACAACCCTCTGAGGTGAGGGGA